CTGGATAACTCGATAACTGATTCAACTCTTTGTCAATGTTTGTCAAACTTATAGATGTAATTTCTTGATCAGAGTCGAGAAAATCATTAGAATCAATCAAAGTTAAACTTTTTGATTTCAATTTTTCAGGATTTTTGTGATTTGAGTCGTTGGACGATAAAAGTTCAATACTGGAGCTACTGTTGTTATTTGATGAAATTGAACTTATAACTTCAAAAGACGAGTCACTAGTACTTGAACTTGACACCAAGACATCATCGCTGTAGGATTTTTTCAACAGAATTTGTACCTTTTTGTTTGATGAAGTTAAAATCTTTTCACTGGACAATCTTCTTGGTTGTTGACTTTTGCATGTTGTTGTTATTTTCACAGATGGTACTGGACTCTTAATGTTAGATGTTTGTTTCATTGAAGTTTTGCTTACAAGAGCTTCATTGCTGGAAAGCTCGTTAGTAGACAAGGGATTTCCAATTTTCCACACAATCTCTGAAGCATCATCGTCACTGTGGTTTAAATTGAGGTACGGATCACTTTCATCACTATCCAATAGCAAATTGTTTGTAGAATCATTATTAAACCCGCAAGAAATTTTGGAGTTGTTAGGTGCAAATGTACCATCAGGACATGTTTGATCAATCTTGTTAGGTGCAAATGTACTATCAGGTATCTTTTGATTATAAGTTGTCTTTTTTGAAGATTGCTGTTCTGAGTTTCTGCTCCGTAATTTTTTGTGCAAATCAGCAAAACTATTGTTTGTTTTAGTATTCATATTTGGCAAAGATTTAAAGCCAGGTGACAAGTTGTTGCTGTCTGATCCAATTAGTTGATCTTTAGAGTTTTGATTGGAGCTGACCGCTTCCACAACGGACGTGGCGGATGAATGATCTTGCCAATTTAAGTTGCGGTAGTAACTCAAATTATCCGAACTGGGTTTGAATATTTCTGTAAATTTACACATTTTAAAGAACAAAAATAGAATTATGGGTAAATATCTACTTACCATCGGCGACCAGGAACTGTTGTGCCAAAAGACCTCTAACTCTTTTAGGTATAAAATGTTGCCTGACTTTTTGAGGATTATTAACAATGGAACAGACAACGACGCACTTCATTTTCACACCTAGATCGCTTCCATTAGGTAATTGGCACCAGGGACTATTTTCAACTGCTATTTGTAAATCTTTTGTGAAGAGAGCCCACTAAAAATAGCAGGATGTTATTTAAAACATTTGAATGCATGCAGGTCTTGTTTACCTTTATGGATCCAGGACCGCTGGCCAAAGGCCCTTGGTGAAAAATATTATGAAGGTGCATTATACTGACTGGCAGATATACCCTGATTTTGGAACCTTCGACTACACTGAGCTCTTTCTTGTACCTAAATAAAATGCAAGCTTTTAATTCCGTTTCAGAATTGTTATCACAAATAGTAGTTACCTTTCTTCCAATAAACTATGGGATGATGGTATCATTCTAAAAATATATTTTGGCACCGAGTTGTCTAAAATGTATTTGAAGTTGGACGAATTTAAAAACAAAGATGGGAAGCTGTTTTGCAATCTTCGACCACTTAAAGTCATCAAATGAGGTTTGAGGTTTAAAATAAGAGTCCAGTATAATAATCCTAAAATGGATCAAAATATTGGCATCCAATTGATCATAACTTGTCTGTTAACCACTTTTACCTAAAATATCGTCTGACAATTTCAGTTTGTCATAGCTTTTTAAAATTAATTCAGTGACACGTTGGAAACTTGGCATCTTGTTTAAAAGTTCACCTAACTCCTTGACTTCTCGTTTTTCCATTTGCATCAATAAACCAGTGAGGAAATGGTTCTATTTTTGCTCCTTCTAAAGATTGATAAATAGATATTACTAAATTAGCAAAGAACATCTTAAGATGTGAAAAGATATGATGTCAATGGCAAATCTCTCCCAAAATAGAACTAGACTGTAGTTTTTGAGTGAAGTAAAAACATCAGTTACTGGACATCATTTTTTCCTTACCACCCTCCTTGCAGCTCAAAACAGCGCAAACAAAGCAAGTCCATTTGACTCTTGCTGAAACGGCATCTTTCTTCAACAAACTTCTTAATTCTGCTAACTGTGTTTTTCTTCTGGCCAATCGTTGTTTTAGAAGTTTTAATCTGAGGGCACTTTCAGAAGCCAACTCTGAGAAAGCCGAATCGCCACCTGATGATGATGCCAAGGTTCTGAAAAAATATATGATGATGATTGGGACAAGTCCAGGAGTGTGGACGACTAATTTTGCCATTATTGCTTTTTGTATTACCTCGCTGTCGAACAACTTTGCATATTTTTCTGGAAAATTATAGAAAATATCAAGCAAATTTATTTAAACAATAAGTTCTTTATTTAAATATAAAAATTTACACATTAATCTATAATTAGAAACGAAATTTGTTAACATTTTTTCATATAAACAATTTAAAAATATATATATTTCGATGAATGTCAAAAATTTGGCGTACTAGATTTGTACCCAATTGTCAAATATGCAAAATTTTCAAAACTATTTTAAATACTGTTCGAACGAATTATTCCTAAAAGTTTCTACTATAGCAATAATTACTAAAATTGGTATAGTTGTCGTCATAACAAGAGATTTGTCCAACCAAGTACCACTTTTCCAAAAGTTCTTGCACTTTTTTTTTTCGAAGTTAAATATGTTATTTATGTTTTTACTAGATAAATGTTTAATTAGTTATTGATTATTAATTCAGAGACAAGAAAAAATAAATGATTAATAGCTCAGAATTTTTTTAGAAATTATATTTAAAAATACGTTACAAATATTTTTTTTTAATTTGTATAAAATGTAGCATTAAAAAAATATTAAAAAAGTTGATTCTTTTCTTCCTGCTTCTATGTTGTTTTAAAATCAACTATTGTTCATTTCCAAATGGTAATTTATTTAAATTCTGATATTTGCTGACCGAGATCAAGTTTAGACAATAAGAAAAACACAGATGTTGGCATGTTTTCTAAATTTTATCTCTGCACCAGAAGAAAAATCCTCGTTTATTTGCTGGATTTTGATCAAAAATAGGTAGTTTAGATCTAAAGCTCCTGGATTGCAGAACAAAATTTACTGCAAAGAAGTAGAATACAGATGTTCTTTGTTTCTAGAACCATGAAGCAGATTCAAAACTAACAACATGGCCAACGATCATCATTCACCAGATTTTCCTTGTTTTGGTCACAATTTGTTTTTGCAGTTGATTCACCATCTTCTCGAGGAATCAAATAGTGACCATATCAATTCTCTCACATTTTATGCTTCTCCAACATCTTTCTTTTCGCAAAGTTCACCTTTCCTGCTTCACTTTTCCCAAATCGTGGCCATATCAATTCTGTCACATTTTATGCTTTTCCAACATCTTCCTCCTCTCAAAATTCATCTTTTCCTGCTCCCCGTCTAGTCATAAAGAGTCATAATCGACATCACCCGATTTATACATCTGGACCATCCTAAAATGTTTCTCAATCTTGTGCCTTGTCCTGTGCACCTCATCCCTCTTGGCCATATTGTACGCCCATCTGTTCATCAACGGCAACTTGGATTCGTCCAAAGGTGGCAGGGAGTGCCCATGATACTTAAAAGGATCCTCCATGAGATAGATGACACAGAAACGTTCAAAGTGGGGCCACATGATGTAGTCCATTATCCCGGGAACGTCACCTAGGAAGAATAGTGTTTATTGGTGTAGTAGAAATTGCACAGGATTAAGCTTACCGTTGAAGTATATGGTATTCCTGTCTCTCAAAGCTTTCTCAAAGGCTCCTAAATATTTGTGCAACTTGCAAATGACCTCGGACACACCGCCTTCGTTTCTCAGGTTGTTGCCAAATGTTATTCTTGTCATCAGACCTACGATTCGTCCCCAGTCTTTGCGCAATTT